GGTGTTAGTTGTCCCATGTTACATGGATGTTAGTTGTCCTATGTTACATGGATGTTAGTTGTCCCATGTTACATGGATGTTAGTTGTCCCATGTTATATTGATGGTAGTTGTCCCATGTTACATGGATGTTAGTTTTCCCATGATACATGGGTGTTAGTTGTCCCACGTTACATAGGTGTTAGTTGTCCCATGTTACATTGGTGTTAGTTGTCCCATGTTACATGGGTGTTAGTTGTCCCATGTTACATGGGTGTTAGTTGTCCCATGTTACATGGGTGTTAGTTGTCCCATGTTACATGGGTGTTAGTTGTCCCATGTTACATGGATGTTAGTTGTCCCATGTTACATGGATGTTAGTTGTCCCATGTTACATTAATGGTAGTTGTCCCATGTTACATGGGTGTTAGTTGTCCCATGTTACATGGATGTTAGTTGTCCCATGTTACATGGGTGTTAGTTGTCCCATGTTACATGGATGTTAGTTTTCCAATGATACATGGGTGTTAGTTGTCCCACGTTACATAGGTGTTAGTTGTCCCATGTTACATGGATGTTAGTTGTCCCATGTTACATGGGTGTTAGTTGTCCCATGTTACATGGATGTTAGTTGTCCCATGTTACATGGATGTTAGTCGTCCCATGTTACATGGATGTTAGTTGTCCCATATTACATGGATGGTAATTGTCCCATGTTACATGGATGGTAGTTGTCCCATGTGCTATTGGTGTTAGTTGTCCTATGTTACATGGGTGTTAGTTGTCCCATGTTATATTGATGGTAGTCGTCCCATGTTACATGGATGTTAGTTGTCCCATGTTATATTGGTGTTAGTTGTCCCATGTTACATGGATGTTAGTTGTCCCATGTTACATGGAAGTTAGTTGTCCCATGTTACATGGATGTTAGTTGTCCCATGTTACATGGGTGTTAGTTGTCCCATGTTACATGGATGTTAGTTGTCCCATGTTACATGGGTGTTAGTTGTTCCATGTTACATGGATGGTAGTCGTCCCATGTTACATGGATGTTAGTTGTCCCATGTTATGTTGGTGTTAGTTGTCCCATGTTACATGGATGTTAGTTGTCCCATGTTACATGGATGTTAGTTGTCCCATGTTACATGGATGGTAGTTGTCCCATGTTACATGGGTGTTAGTTGTCCCATGTTACATGGGTGTTAGTTGTCCCATGTTACATGGGTGTTAGTTGTCCCATGTTACATGGATGTTAGTTTTCCCATGATACATGGGTGTTAGTTGTCCCATGTTACATAGGTGTTAGTTGTCCCATGTTACATGGATGTTAGTTGTCCCATGTTACATGGGTGTTAGTTGTCCCATGTTACATGGATGTTAGTTGTCCCATGTTACATGGATGTTAGTTGTCCCATGTTACATGGATGTTAGTTGTCCCATATTACATGGATGGTAGTTGTCCCATGTTACATGGATGGTAGTTGTCCCATGTTATATTGGTGTTAGTTGTCCCATGTTACATGGGTGTTAGTTGTCCCATGTTATATTGATGGTAGTCGTCCCATGTTACATGGATGTTAGTTGTCCCATGTTATATTGGTGTTAGTTGTCCCATGTTACATGGGTGTTAGTTGTCCCATGTTACATGGATGTTAGTTGTCCCATGTTATATTGATGGTAGTCGTCCCATGTTACATGGATGTTAGTTGTCCCATGTTACATTGGTGTTAGTTGTCCCATGTTACATGGATGTTAGTTGTCCCATGTTACATGGATGTTAGTTGTCCCATGTTACATTGGTGTTAGTTGTCCCATGTTACATGGATGTTAGTTGTCCCATGTTACATTGGTGTTAGTTGTCCCATGTTACATGGGTGTTAGTTGTCCCATGTTACATGGATGTTAGTTGTCCCATGTTATATTGATGTTAGTTGTCCAATGTTACATGGATGTTAGTTGTCCCATGTTACATGGATGTTAGTTGTCCCATGTTACATGGATGTTAGTTGTCCCATGTTACATGGATGTTAGTTGTCCAATGTTATATGGATGTTAGTTGTCCCATGTTACATGGATGTTAGTTGTCCCCTGTTACATGGATGTTAGTTGTCCCATGTTACATGGATGTTAGTTGTCCCATGTTACATGGATGTTAGTTGTCCCATGTTACATGGGTGTTAGTTGTCCCATTTTACATGGATGTTAGTTGTCCCATGTTACATGGATGTTAGTTGTCCCATGTTACATGGATGCTAGTTGTCCCATGTTACATGGATGTTAGTTGTCCCATGTTACATGGGTGTTAGTTTTCCCATGTTACATGGGCGTTAGTTGTCCCATGTTACATGGATGTTAGTTGTCCCACGTTACATGGATGTTAGTTGTCCCATGTTACATGGATGTTAGTTGTCCCACGTTACATAGGTGTTAGTTGTCCCATGTTACATAGGTGTTAGTTGTCCAATGTTACATGGATGTTAGTTGTCCCATGTTACATGGGTGTTAGTTGTCCCATGTTACATGGATGTTAGTTGTCCCACGTTACATAAGTGTTAGTTGTCCCATGTTACATGGATGTTAGTTGTCCCATGTTACATGGGTGTTAGTTTTCCCATGTTACATAGGTGTTAGTTGTCCAATGTTACATGGGTGTTAGTTGTCCCATGTTACATAGGTGTTAGTTGTCCAATGTTACATGGGTGTTAGTTGTCCCATGTTACATAGGTGTTAGTTGTCCAATGTTACATGGGTGTTAGTTGTCCAATGTTACATGGGTGTTAGTTGTCCCATGTTACATAGGTGTTAGTTGTCCCATGTTACATGGGTGTTAGTTGTCCAATGTTACATGGGTGTTAGTTGTCCAATGTTACATGGGTGTTAGTTGTCCCATGTTACATAGGTGTTAGTTGTCCAATGTTACATGGGTGTTAGTTGTCCCATGTTACATAGGTGTTAGTTGTCCCATGTTACATGGGTGTTAGTTGTCCCATGTTGCATGAATGTTAGTTGTCCAATGTTACATGGGTGTTAGTTGTCCAATGTTACATGGGTGTTAGTTGTCCCATGTTACATAGGTGTTAGTTGTCCAATGTTACATGGGTGTTAGTTGTCCAATGTTACATGGGTGTTAGTTGTCCAATGTTACATGGGTGTTAGTTGTCCCATGTTACATAGGTGTTAGTTGTCCAATGTTACATGGGTGTTAGTTGTCCAATGTTACATGGGTGTTAGTTGTCCAATGTTACATGGGTGTTAGTTGTCCAATGTTACATGGGTGTTAGTTGTCCAATGTTACATGAATGTTAGTTGTCCAATGTTACATGGGTGTTAGTTGTCCAATGTTACATGGGTGTTAGTTGTCCCATGTTACATAGGTGTTAGTTGTCCAATGTTACATGGGTGTTAGTTGTCCAATGTTACATGGGTGTTAGTTGTCCAATGTTACATGGGTGTTTGTTGTCCCATGTTACATAGGTGTTAGTTGTCCAATGTTACATGGGTGTTAGTTGTCCCATGTTACATGGATGTTAGTTGTCCCATGTTACATGGATGTTAGTTGTCCCATGTTACATGGATGGTAGTTGTCCCATGTTACATGGATGTTAGTTGTCCCATGTTACATGGATGTTAGTTGTCCCATGTTACATGGATGGTAGTTGTCCCATGTTGCATGGATGTTAGTTGTCCCATGTTACATGGATGGTAGTTGTCCAATGTTACATGGATGTTAGTTGTCCCATGTTACATGGATGCTAGTTGTCCCATGTTACATGGATGCTAGTTGTCCCATGTTACATGGATGCTAGTTGTCCCATGTTACATGGATGCTAGTTGTCCCATGTTACATGGGTGTTAGTTGTCCCATGTTACATGGATGCTAGTGCTTTCTCAGTAAATTTAGGTGGAGTTTATTTTCATATTTGACAAATTGCCCGGAACCTCCGAAGATAGATATGTAAGAGTATCTGTGGTCTACACGTTTTGTAACATTATCCCCATGAATCAAGGAATGATCCATTTTTTCCTTACTTTTGTCCAGTAAATCATGTGCAGTTTCAGAAGTAAGCTTTGTTCTAAATTTCTCAGCCTCTTCTTCAACCCACACAAATATAAAAAAGAAAATTCGTGACCGGAAGGTGTGTCGACTTGGCTCAAGAGTGACTGAGTTTTATATATATACATCACGACGGGGGACACCAGAAATGGGCTTCACACATTGTACCCTTGTCGAGAATCGAACCCGGGTCTTCGGCGTAATGAGCGAACGCTTTAACAACTAGGCTACCTCACCGCCCTCTTGGCTCAAGAGGCTATGTCAAAGCTGTGTCATGAAACAATTCGGAGGAGGCAATAACATGATCCACCACACTAGCCCCATGGTTCCCTGTAAAAGTATAATGTCCCACACTGACGTCTGAACCGCACCTTCCATTCTTAGTTCGTATATTCAATTAAACAATTCTTGTAAGCTCTTATTGAAATTAATCAACAATAGATCCACACACAATCTTTTTAACTGAAACTGTCTACCAGAAATCCACATACACTGTTATCATGCCCCTCGAAGTATTCAAGAATATCACCTTCTACAAAATCAGATTCAGTTCTGGCATTCAAGTCTCTTCCAAACATCCTGTAAATATCCTCACACTGCGCCAATACACCAAGTAATTCCTCAAAGGGGTTGTGTAAATTTATGGTGGATATACAAATGAATACATGGATAAGTAAATCTTTCCTGCATCAAAATACGTTTTTATCTGACAACATAAAAATGCCAATTATTGGTCACACACATTGACGGCACAGGTAGCTATTGGCCACACCCAAAGACGATGGTGAGAGCGGAAACGAACCTCATTCATTTGATTTACTAACTGTTATCTATAATGTTATGTTACCATAAACCTAACCCTAACTCTGATTTATTTACTGCATCTCTCCGTACCCACTAACTGAAACAAACGTGTCATACTGTGTCACGAAGCTTGTACAACACCTGGCGCTGTATGTCAGTGTGTGCAACGTAGGGCCTCGTCAAACGACCAAGGTGACACAACCACACACACAAGTGGATTGAAACAGAATCGTACCGGTGACTCGCTGCAATGAAGTTGTACACATTCTCGGTGAAATGGCACTGTCTGTGTTTGTTGGCCACCTACACGTGTTGCTGTACTGGAAACAAAGTGGAGTTGAAGCTGCAGGCTATCCAAGACGGCCTGACCTCAGCCCAGGGGGTGATAGGGACAGATATCCTGCCCCTCGTGGATGGCCAGTGCCCCTGTGGGGAAGGTAAGGCTCAAGTTACTATTGTGCTTCATCCACCTGACGCAGTGGGCATGCCATGTACGTTCATATAATCCTATTACTGTTGCCGTTTGCACACTTGGGACAACTAGGGACAACTAAGGACACCTAGGGACAACTAGGGACAACTTGGGACAACTAGGGACACAACTAGAACTAGGAACAAGTAGCAACAACTAGAACAACTAGGGACAACTAGAACAACTAGAACAACTAGGAACAAGTAGGAACAACTAGGGAGAACAAGGGACAACGAGAACAACTAAGGACAACTAGGGACAACTAGGGAGAACAAGGGACAACTAAGGACACCTAGGGACAACTAGGGACAGCTAGGGACAACTAAGGACACCTAGGGACAACTAGGGACACCTAGGGACAACTAGAACAACTAAGGACAACTAGGGACAACTAAGGACACCTAGGGACAACTAGGGACACCTAGGGACAACTAGAACAACTAAGGACAACTAGGGACAACTAGGGACACCTAGGAACAACTAGAACAACTAAGGACAACTAGGGACACCTAGGAACAACTAGGGACAACTAAGGACACCTAGGGACAACTAGGGACACCTAGGGACAGCTAGAACAACTAAGGACAACTAGGGACAACTAGGGACACCTAGGAACAACCAGAACAACTAAGGACAACTAGGGACAACTAAGGACACCTAGGGACAACTAGGGACAACTAAGGACACCTAGGGACAACTAGGGACACCTAGGGACAACTAGAACAACTAAGGACAACTAGGGACAACTAGGGACAACTAGGGACAGCTAGGGACAACTAAGGACAACTAGGGACACCTAGGGACACCCGGGGACAGCTGGGGACAACTGGGGACAACTGGGGACAGCTGGGGACAACTAGGGACAACTGGGGACAACTAGGGACAACTGGGGACAACTGGGGACAGCTGGGGACAACTAGGGACAGCTGGGGACAACTGGGGACAGCTGGGGACAACTAGGGACAGCTGGGGACAACTGGGGACAACTGGAGACTTGTAGCGGAACACTCAGCTAAATTACTGTCAGCACGAAAACAATATTAATCATTCGGTACTCTTTTCGTTTTAATTTAGGTTTTAATTTTAATTTGATGTTTAAATTGATACATTTAGTTATGTTAATTGGGTTATTAAGATTAACCATGTTACAAGTAATGATGTTTGTGCGATGATTTACATCATGATTACTTTCTTGTGTTGTTGTGTCATCTTGAATGTGTCCACTGTAGCATGAGTAAGTTAACATTTAAAGTCACATTGGCACTATTTCCATATCGTGACTATCAAGGATGATACATAATAAATACATTTAGACTATATAAAATCCTGCCAACGAAGGACAGTAAAATAACAAGACTTATCACAGAAAAAAGATTTCAAACTAGAATGTAATCATGAAAAGGACAGCACTATACATAACAATACATGATAAAAACGGGCTACAGATCGCCAGCCACCTGAAGGTAGATCACCATACATGGGACCACGGGGACTTACAGTACCTTTGCTATGTCATCAGGCACTTTGCTATGACTTTAGCCAAATTACCACAATATCAGGACGCCGGACTCTAACCTAACCCTACCCCGAACCCTAACTCTTGCTAACATGTCGGATGCTGCTACCCAATACTCAGTATTTCCCAAACACCACAATGTTATCAACACCGCTCATATTCACATATACTACATCAATATAGCCATGCCACTTCCCCTGTATTCACATATGTAAAGGTATGGACTAGACGGCATTTACTTTTACACCTTTAGTCCTGGTGACACATCTGCCTGTTAGTTTGCAATTTAAATGCAAGGAAGCTGGTATTTATGTATCAACGAGTGCGTCATACAACGTCAGTGATTGTGTGAAAAGTTAAATTAGTGACACTCATGGATTATCTCTTTGTACTCCTAGAATGTCTATAACATTTGATAAATATTTCATTCCTGCTTTATACTAGACTGATAAGCTTCATCAGAATCCCTACATAGACACATTCTTCAGGGCACTATCAAATACTAGTCAAAGCCATTATTAAGTACTGTTTACCTAATGACAAAGTAGACACAATTTATGGATAACAACTTCTTAAATACTGTAAAGGCGACGTTTCGGTATAGATTATCATACCGTTGTCAAGCAAGACAGAATGAAGAACATTGTACAGAATATATGTAGTAGGTGGGGGAGAAAAACACTATAGCTCTCCAGGCTCAAGGCTTCATCGTCCCTAAGACTAAATGAGAGGAGCAATGCATCCAAACAGGAATAGGCCAAGTCATTAATACATCAGACTCAAATAGATAATAAAGTGAAATCAAATTGTCATCAATATGTACATGGAACATAGGTGGTCTGCCAAGTTAACTAGATGACATTGGTTTTCTTGACTATATTAGGTCACATGTTTATTACAAACGAATGAAGACAAGTATATAGCTACCCCTGAACTACACGACATTGTACTCTTTTCTAGCAATGCAATCAAACTTTCCAAGGTAGGTCGACTGTCGGGGGTCAATCATGCCTCATTGTACGCTGTTCCTATAGACAGGAATTCAGAATGTAGTTGGCCGAAGGTTAGCCCTTATTATAGCTAAAATGGATAGAATTATCATTAAACCGCCCGCATGTTATCAGAAATGAGCGGGCCTTTGTAACTCGATAATGCTCTCATATTGTTTGACGACGGGCCATTATCACGCCCCTTGTTAGGTGACGTCATAGGGATAGGGATAGGTGACGTCACCTTCAGTAGAAAATATACCATGTCCTGTCACGTATGGAAGGAATAAGTCGTATGCTGACAATGTTATAGTCAACATGATGGCCTTAACATACTTGTTAATGTTACAGATAGAAATGTTAATGAAGCATTAATTTTTTTGTCAGTTGTATACCTGAATCAACAGAATCTATGAAAAAGAAAATTGACATTAATTCCAGACAGTTTGACTTTTATGGACCGGGCTGTCACAAAGCAAAGATGGAAGCCAAACGTAGTGTAATACACTTCAGTAATTGACACCAGAAATGGGCTTCACACATTGTAACCATGTCGGGAATCGAACCCGGGTCTTCGGCGTGACGCGTGAACGCTTTAACCACTAGGCTACCCCACCGCACCTTACGCAACTATAACAAATTCAGCAGCTTTGTGGAAAGAGTTAACACGTATTTCAAATACCCGGACAATTTATGATAATATTAAAAGGGATATTTCATCAAAAGTCCTGCACAAATAAGTCAGTTTGAAGAGTTTATATTAGAATCTTCCATAACAGTTGAAGAAATACATAACACTATTACGCATTTAAAAAAAATGGAAAATCACCTGGAATTGATAAAGTGCTCATTGAAATGATTAAGTCTTGGGAACCAATTATAAATCCCTTCCTACTAGCTTTGTTTAACAAGATATCTAACAGTGGATGTTTCCAGACTTGGGGACTAAGTCAAATATTATCCCGCTGCATAAAAAGGGCGACATAAATAATCCCCATAATCACAGAGTTATATCATTACTAGGAAAGATTTATGTGTATAAAATGACAGACTTACTAAATGGGACGGTGTTATGAGAAAAGCAGGTTATTCGACTATGGATCATGTTTTACCTTATGTGCAATTATTGAAAAATGTCGAGAAAAAAGAAGATATTGTTTGTAGCTTTTATTGATCTTAAAAAGGCTTTCGATTACTAGTATGTCAATCGAGCAAAGCCGTGGAATATATTGTCTTCCTCTGGCTTAAGTTTGTAAAATGCCGAGGGCATTACAAAGTGTATACCGATCCATAAAAGTATGCGCTAGATGTCATACAGATTTCACAGATTATTTGGTTTAAGAAAAAGATGTATGTTGAGTCCTACGCCATTCTCATTATCTATAAATGAATTAGCTACAAGCATTATAACATATTGAACTCATGGTATACACCTCTTTCCAGACATAGTAGAAGTATTAAATGTTGTTATTTGTGGTTCCTGGTACTATATGTGGTTTACGGCGCCAGATAAATATTCTAGATTTATATGCAGATAAGTGTGGAATGACTGTTAACTTACAAAAAACAAATGTTGTTGTGTTTAGAAGAGGAGGAAATTTATCATCTAAAGAAGTGTATAGAGAACAAATTTTAGAGGTTAATACTGATGGATATCTACGATTAGTCTTCACTTGTAAGTTTAGCCTAAGTAAATCTGTTGCTGATCTAGCTCTACGTACCAAAAAAGACTTTAACTGCAACTAGAAAAAATATATATTGCTGTCCCCAAAATGTGTTTCTGTGTTATTTGATTGTCAGATTAGTCCGATTCTTTTGTACGCGTCTGATATTTGGGGGATCAATAGAGTTGAAAGTATAGAAAAAATCCACCTACTGGCTTGTACAAATAGGATCACAAACACCTCATGCTATAGTTCATGGTGAATGTGTCCGATACCCTATGTATATCAACTCACTTGTTGGTAGTGTTGGATACTGGTGTTTTATAGTATCAGTGCATGAGGGACCGCCTCCACATGTTCTGTACAACATGTTTGTGTATTTAGATAAATTAGGGTCGACAAATTGGGCTTCAACTATTAGATATCATCTATTTTCTCGTGGTTTGGGTTTTGTTTGGCTGTCACAAACAGTTGGAGATAACAAATGTTTAATAAGCATGTTGAAGGATTGTGCTTTAATATGGTTCATCAAAGTTGGATATCTACCATTAATAACAGTTCAAGATTTAACCTTCATAGAGAATATAAAAGATTGTGAGAACCAGAAAAGTATATTTATGCAGTTAGCGAAATCATAGTGAAGTTTAGAGGGAGACTATCACGGTTGAGAAATAATGACGGAAGGTGGTTAAAAATCTATAGATACCTGAGAAACTGTCCTTTATGTGATCGAGGTATAGAGGATGAATATCTTTTTCTTCTTGTATGTGCTACTTTTAATTCAAATTAGAATTAC